GTTAGCCTCACCAAGATATTCTCGTATATCCAAACAGCGGCTATCAGTTCATGTGGTTTTCTCGTCGAGAAAAAAATTCAACGTGCAGCTATTTTTTGTTGTTCATTCGATGCTTAATAAATTATAAGTTTTCGCTTAGTTGAAAAGAGCATTATGTTAACAAGGAAAGAAAATTGAACAGTTAATTGATAATCAACAGTAACATCAAAATCTTCAGCTGTACGAAATAGTTTTTGTTGTGTGTATGTAAACGAGATCAAGCAAGGATATGTCCGATTGAATCAATATAAGAAGCTGTGGGTTCATATTTTCATGAATCCACAACTTCCCAACTCTGATGTGTTCTCGAACTATAAAAAAATCATTCTAATCAATAGGCAGAACAATAAATCATTACAAAATTCAGTATTATAATGAATAGTGCGAAAGTTTCTGGACAATCGATTTATTCTTTTGAGGATAGATTATAAAATATAACAGAAAATTTAAAGCATTGGGTTAAAATTAAAATTTTCTACAATATACAATGGCTTCAAAAATTGATTATAGACATTTAATTTCGATATTTTTTTTTTCGTAAGGGTAATCCAAATAAAGAGTCTAAATAGTGCTGAAAATTTCACCATAGATGTGGTTCATACCGGAGAGTCTATTCTGAAGTTTTCGAATTTTTTTTGCTCATATAATTACAGAGATACTCGCTAATTACTTTTTAATTAATAGTCAGCTGTAAGAGCCACATATCTCTATGATAAAAGAATGTTGTAAAAAAATCAAAGTTAAATGAAAGGTGGATATGATCCATATATGCTTTTGAAAAATCATTAAAAGTACTTTTTGATTTCTTTTTTTTTGTTTTAGTCAGCTCAACAATTATTTGATAATCATAGTCGAAAATCAAGTCCAATTGTTGAAAGTGATTATGACAATACAACAGTTATTGAAGATCCTGACAAGTAAATATATTATTAAAATTTTCACTAATTTATTTCTCTTCACACAAAAAAACCCCCCGTCTAGTCCATCATCAAATTCAACTCGACAAATAGTACATGGTCATGACAAACGGTATTTTATCAACATCGTATATTTGTTGTTTTTTTGTATTCATTTTTTATTTAGATCTAGTCGTAGTATGCAACGATTTCCACAATTGGAAGAAAACTCAACGAATGTTTTAAATAATTCTCGTCCATTTCGATCAACAGATTATATAAATACAAATGTTGAAGTACCAATAATAAAATCTTCAATAAATCAATCATTACAAACACAAACATCAATTATTCCAATAAGTAATGGTCGTGCTCGATCATGTTCTGGTGGACGAAATAAAGCAATGTCACCTCCAATTTTATCACGAAAAGGTATTTGAAATAAAATAACAAAAATAAAAATTGACGTATTTTTTGTTTTAGGTTCATGTGGACAAACAGAATCAAATGGTGATATTGATAAACGAACAAGAAAAATAACTCATCGTATTGCAGAATTATTTAGTTTAATAAAAGAAAATCAATCTGATCGGTAAAAATATTCATAATGAAAAAAATCTTTTACAAAAAACAAAAAAAAACTTTCTAGATATGTTACATGTGCTGAACGAATTAATAATTCAGTTCAAGATATGATTCGTGTATTTGATAGAGTATGTTATTTTAAATCTATCCAAAAAGAAAAACATAAGAAATTTTATTTTTAAATACTCAATAATAATTTAATAGACAAATTTATATAACAATATAATTAGTAAAGATAATCTTTTATTAAATTTATTTAGATTGCATTAACTGACGAAATGCGAACAAATCTAGACATATTAAATACAGGTGCTCAACAACTTCTAGCTCATGCAACATTAAAAGAAAAAACTTCAACAATAAATAATACTAATCGAACGGAACAAATTCAACATATAATTGATGATTGTTATAATATTGCACTTGCAACAAAAAGTCTTGTTGGACTTTATCAAAAATTATAAACAATTTGTATAGTAAAAATTAGTGCATAAAACTTTTTGTTTTTCTTTTTTTTTTTATATGATATCTGTCTAGTATTAATTTGTTCGTCTTTCATTGTTACAAAAAAAAATTATTCGTTACTTTTGTTGTTTTTTTTTATGTTTGTTTATATTTAACGATATAATCATTTGTGTAAGATATAAACAAACATTAGCTATGCTGATTAAAATTTACTAACTTCTAACTCAGGTGTATTATTATTATTATTATTATTATTGTTATTCTATCTCCGGATACAAAATTTATTACCAATCTCATTATATCATATTTACTCTTTCACTTTTTTTTGTCTGTATTCGTGTGTGTGTGTACATTCTTTTTTTTCTACACTTTTTAAATAAATATAATAGTGGTATTAAATAGAAATTTTATTTATGAATTATGAATAACAATTTGTCATTTGATATATCATAAGTTAATTTATCGTCATCACTTGGTAATCGATCTTGAAGATTTGATGTAATTTTTTGTATGGATGAATGTAACTTGAAGAAAGAAAAATTTCATCAGATGATAACAAGTGTACTAAATTTTCTTTGATCGAATAAAAAATATCGCCCAAAGATAATAATTGTTATTTTTTAGGTATAATTACAGGCAAATGAATGATACAAATAAATCTTATCTGATGATAAACATTCTTTTCTATGTAAACGTTCGAGAAAGTTCTTGATGAGTAAATTCTTTATTTTGTCAGGCTTAACACAATCCTGTTTACATAACAACTCATAATAAAAAAAAGAATGTCAACAAAACACTTTTCTTTATATCAACAATAATAAATCAATGTTTTTTTTAATTCCATTTTTACTTCGTCATATAAAATCAAAATCATATGATAGATACTATTTGCGATTGTTCCAATTCAAGCCTCTTATTTTTTTTTTCAATAGAACATATTTATTTTACTACACAAAGAAAAAAGACATAGAAAACGTTCGATCTATGTTGGAGAAAAATTGACTTAATCTACAATCTGACTTGAGTCACACAGTATCGGAAAAGTCATAATCAACAACATAGAAAAGACTACACATAAAAAAAAAACAAAAGAAAAGAACTGAATAAATACATATAGGAAGACAATAATAGACAAACATAACAAATGGCACACAAACAATAATCGCAAGATCGAAAAATAATTCAAAAAAAAAGAAAATTTGTTTTTTCTATGTTATTTATTTTAATTTCTTCTCGTTCTTTCTGAAAATATATCACAGTCGAATGAGAAAAAATGAAAACAAACCGAATAATTTCACTGTTATCAATCGATCAAGCGAAATAACCAAAAAAAAAAAAGAAGAACAAGAACTAATTCTATTTTGTTAAGTCAAATTTCAAAACGCGAAAAAAAACTCAAACAGACTAGAAATGACTCTTGTTATTGTCTGCCATTAAACACGTAAACATACAAAAAAAAGAAAAACAACCTATTGCAATATCCTGATTAGAGAAAAAAAAAGATCACCGTTTGCGTCAACGACAGAGAGACTCAACCGTATGTACAAAATACTGCTTTGCTATACTCACATGTGTATATATATATATATATTGACAAAGAGATTGCATGAGAAAAAAAACAAAGCACTATTGTACAAAAGAGTAGAGAAAGGAAAGGTCATTCTCAAAGATCAAAAGAAAAAAAAAAGAAACCTTCAATTTATAATTCTAACCTTTAACAGATATGTATTGTGTTGGAATTTTTTCATGATTTCTTGTTGAATAACATGGACTATAAAAACCTTTATTATGATTATTATTATGATTTTTACGATATGATTTTCGTTGAATTTTTTGTTTTGGTATTTCTTTTTTTTCTTCAATTTCAATTGGAAGATTTTCATCATTTGAATTTAAATACCATGATTCAGGTGGTTTTGGTAATAATGAGCATTCAGGAGGATCAGCATAAGTTTCAGAATAAAACAATGGTACAGCTGGTAATGAACTAGCTGACATTGCTACAGGTGAATTTGCATGAGAATAATAACGATGATGAGAATTTAAATTTTTTAAATATGATAAATTCATACTACTATTTGATCGTATATGGTTTGAATTTGATACAGATAGAAAATGAGGATTTTTTGTACGTTGTTGTTTAATAGGTGATTTTCGATTGTTCATTTTTGTCGATTGGAAAGATGAAAAAAAAAAGAACGGGAAATCTAAAAGAATTTTAAAATGTTTGTAAGAAAAAAAAAAAGAACGAGTTGTATTTATATTGTTTAGTGTGAAGAGAGAAAGAATTGAGTAGGAGACTCTTATGTAAACGCAAAGAAAAAGTGATGATAGACAAACATAAAGATTCTATAAACAGCGCTACATTCTTGCATTGATTATTAATGGAAGAAAAGAGAGAAGAAAAAAAAAGAAGAAGAAAACGCACAACGGCAATCGAATCAGACTAACATCAAAACTACAGCCGTGTGTGTGCAAAAAAAAATAGCTGAGGGTAGTCCTAGAAACCCTCATCCAAATTTTTTTGTTGTTGTTTGCTCTCTCCCATTTATATTTTCTGACTACAATCAAATATTCAATATGCCTTCTACACAGCTGTCTACTTAAATCTATCGATATATATATATAGATATCTACGCACATTTTCTTAAAAATGACGATAAAAAAAGGAAGAATGACATAACTATTCGTCATTTTGCGAACAACGCATTACATCAACATTCTTACAAAATTAACTTTTTTTTTCTGTCCCAATGAATCATTAAGAAAAAAACAAGGATATGTACTTACAAATAGAAATAACGATTTTCTAATTTATAAAATAAAAATGACCTTCTATGTCTAGCGGACACGAACAAATAAAGAAGAATTTTGTTCGCTTATTCACACGCATGCTCGTATAGGACATGTACACAATAAATGGAGTTCCTCTTTTTTTTTCTTTCTTTCTCTCTCTTTCTCTCTTTCCTTCTTTTTTTTCTTCTATCTCTAATCAAATTGATGCGTGCATATTCGCATACGCCTTAGCATTAAAACGATCGACGACATAGCGAATAAGCAAGTGGGAAAAAAAGTATACATAATTGTCGATTGATGAGAGAGACACTAAGTGCATATATTTATATCATTTATTACGGACAACAACGTTGAACTACTAATAGAAAAGAAGTGATTTGTTAGCGACAAAAAAAAAA